TCAATTCGAAATGAAACATCAAGATCTGTTCTATCCAACGGTTAATCGTAGCATTCGGGCCCATGCCAGGGTTATCTAGCATTCCCTTTATGTACGACGCATCCGTTTCCAGAACCAAATTTCGACATCCCAGTATCCAATATTGCATATGCTCAAGCCCCCTCTTGATTCCAAACAACTCTCTCTTCGCCTGCGAAAACCTTGCCTGTCGCTCATCCAACGGAATGGACGAAAACCCGAATAGTATCGTTTCTTGAGTTCCCTTCTTGATATTGATAGATTACAATGCCGATTCCTTTGTAGGAACTGTCGATCTGAATGACTGTCGTCCAATCCTCTGAATAGTTCAAAGGACGGATCGCAGGACATTCCGCGACAGCCTTCTTTATAATCGCCATGGATGCCTCTTGCAACTCTCCCCATTCGAATTCCACTCCTTTCTTCAGCAGATCCGTGAGCGGTTTGCTCATTATGTGAAAGTCTTGAATGAAATGCTTGATATAGGTGAGGACTCCTAGGAACTGTCGAATCTCCGACACATTCTTGAGAGGAGGCCATCTGGTAATGACCCCTACTCGATCCGTCGATGGCCTTCTGCCTTCATACGAACAGGTATGCCCAACAACTACGAACTCGTCCGCACACAACACCGCCTTCATCCCAGAAACCGTTAAACCAGAGTACTTCAATCGCTGAACGACTCGGTTTACGTTCTGCATGTGTTCCCAGAAGAATCTCCTGATCCCCTTGTTCTCTGGAATCGTTTCCGCCACTCCCTTCTCATCTTCATATCGGGTTGCAGGTCCACGAATAGGTACGTCGTCGATGTATGGCATCGAAACGTGCGGTACTTCTTCCCTCAGGACGTAATTCACGTCGTCATGAAAGATCGGAACCGAAGTTCGTCCATCCCTGAGGCAGTTTTACCAGTCGCAACGCTCCGAAGGGCGATTGGAACGTAGTATAATCCCTTGAGGTTTCCGCTAAGTCCCTATGATCGTATCCAGAATAGAGATCCAACACTCCTCCACAGGCTCTTCCCGAAAAATGGTCTGCAAGTTCCTCCGTTGCTGGGGGTATACCCGAATGTGCGATCGTTACCGCGTTCAATGGTTCCAAAGCGTGCACCAAGCGAATACTCTTCCCATCTTTCTTGAGGACTCCGAAGAACTTGGAGCGATAGGATGCGTTCGATGGTTCGTACACTCCCGCGTCCAATTTCTTCTTGATAACTTTACAGAACTCTTCCAGTTGTCCCCTTGGAATCGGAATGCTCTTCTCAATCCACACCTTATGCTCCACGGTCGGAATCTCAACAGGCGGAAAGAAATCATGTCGCAAGGTCCCCCGTTCTTCATCGTTCCAGGCGAACGCAGGCCATTGAAGCATCATAAAATTATGAATAACTTTCAACTCCTCGTCCCACAAGAATCCAGTATTATGAACCTTGTCAATGAATTCCATCCTCTCCTGCGTGTATCGTTCGGTTGGAACGAAGTCCACTGGCTTAGCTGATAACGAGGGTAGTTCTGCGAGTGGATCACCGATTATCTCACGTTTGATACGATAATGCTCTGGCAATTCGCCATAAACCGGTCTCGTTTTTAAGGCTACTGGCTTATACTTCTTGCCTGCGAACGTCTCAAAGATTTCGACTCCCGGTTCCACTGCAGTCCCGTTCTTCTCCTTATCGAAAGCCATATCCGCACATCTAAGACACGGTATCAACGGATCGTGTCTGTGGACATGTCCCAGATAAGATGCTTCTATTTCCGCTCTACGCTCTTCGTCTTGACCTTCGTCTTCCCTATTTTCCTCTGCTACAACTCGGGTTTCCACCACATATTTCTCCGTTTTTGAATCTGAAGACCTTTCTCTAACGAAATCCTGCAACAGCTCCTTTGCTTTCTGGTCCTTCCGCATCGCTTTGGAGTCCATACTTGCTGTTAAGTACGCCATTCGTAATTCATCATCCGAGAAACAACGCCCATCCTCAGGTTCCATATATCCTTCCACTCTCAACTCTCCAGACTCGTCCACTCCTACCCTAATACACAGTTCCTCGCCTCCCCAGTCCTCCACTAGTTCCTGGACGAGCTCTGAAAATCCGACTCCGCTTCGACTTTAACTCGATGGTCTCGGTTCTCCTTTTGCCCTGGCGATTCTTTCTGCGCATTCTCAATCCTCTTCGAATTGGTTGTCGATGAAAACGTTCCCCGCGCTTGGGTTGGAATGACACATCGTCGCTCCTTGTTAGGGTCGCGAATGGTGAGCATTTGATTCCCATTTCCAAAGTTTTCCAATTTTGACTCGGTAACGATGTCGAACGGTCGTCCCAACAATACCTCATACGCTACTTGGTCGATAACGTGGACTTGCAGATACACGGGTATGTCCCCAAACAAGAAACAAACGTTCCGCGCTAATCCAGCCGACTTCTTCAGTTGCCCGTTCGCTCTGCATGTAGATTTGCAGATCTGGATCCCAAAGGGATTCCCAACCGCTCAGCTACCGATAACGCCATCGAGACTATCTGAGAGCCACTGTCTATAACGCATTCCACATGTTCCCTTGCTGCGATTAACGGCCATACAACTCGTAACGACGCAGAGTCCTTTCCCGAAAACACTTGTTTAGGCGGTTCTCCTGGGGATAACGGCGACATACTGCAGATAAGGGTCGGTGCTAACATAACACCCTTCCTTTATCCCGTATTGACGATCTTCCTCAGTCGAGATATAGAACGAATCAACCATTGGTAGTTCATCTATATCCACAGCATCATTTTGGAGTCGAGCTTCGACACCCTCGTCCTCCATGAATGGATATTCCGATCCTTCGTCAAGTTTTCCGTTAAGTAACACTGGCTTTATCGGTTGCTGCCTCGTTCGATTCGTTGACTTCCTCATAGCTTTGGCATATTCTGGCGAAAGCGAGATCAAATCGCCCACGGTAATATCGTGTACGACTGTACTCTCCGTTTTCTCAACAATACGCTTAATAATATTTGGGTCATCGAACTTGGTAGCCAATTTATACGCCCGTTCCTCGCCGTTCTTGCGTTTCCCCGTTTCTCGCCCTGGAGATTCCGAATGAGGAGCCATCCTCGCTGCGTATTCCAATTTCTCATCTTCCGAGTCTTCTCCTCTGAAACGCGCCTTTGTCTCTTCTTCGGCACATCCTCTTTTTCCAACACTTCGGGTTCTGTTTCTTCTCCACTATCCGACGACTCCTCCTCCAGTTCTCTTCGGTCCTGCCTCCGTTTTGACGTTTCCTTCGCAACTTTAGATCGGTTCTCAAGAGACTTCGTTGCCTCGGAAGCCTTCTTTCGTTTGCTTCCGGTCTCCATCCTCGAACTATCTAAAAATTTTGGTTTCCGCCAGCCGAGTTGTCTTTCTGCGAACGTGTGTTCGCGTACTGCGACTCCATCGACTGTCCTCCCGATTGCGAACCCGACCCCGGCGAATTCTGCATTGCCTGAACCATGTTATACATCGTCAAGAACTGTTGAAAGTTCGAATCCCCTGCCGGCAAGCCCGGTTGAACGGGCGCTTGAATGAAGGAAGGATAAGCTTCGTTCCCAACTCCACTCTCCCCCATTCGCTGCTGCGTTCTTCCACCACTTCCGTTTTGCACCATGGGTTCCCGTTGAAGGATCTGTGGATAGGTCTGCACTGGTGCTTGAGGACTTGAAAAACGCTGCTGTTGGCCACCAGTCGACATGCTATTGACTTGCACTTGCTTCGCCATAGCCGCCATCTGGGCCCGTAACGAACGGATTTCGTCTTCGCTCACCTGCCCTGCCCTAATATAGCAAGAGAATAGATGTGTTGATCGGACCACATCAGCACATCTCCGCGGTATCAAAAACGTCAAATCCTCTTACCCTCCGACAATCCCCCCCCGACATTTCACCCCGGTGGACTTCTCCCTGCCCCAACGAGGGCCTCCGGCGGCATCGGCTCGCCATCAGCGGCTGTCGGAACGGTCACCGTCCGTCACAGCCCGATCACACAGTGACCCGCCTCCTTGTCACCTGCCACGTCGACTCCGCTGTGCTCGTCGTTGTCACCTACTCCCTCACCGCTGCCGCCGTTGGCCTTCAAGTCGGCCCTCCCCGTTGAGCGGGTTTCTCCCTGCCTAGATGGAGGTCTCCAGCGGTGTCAGCGCTGCCCTCGATGGCTGTCGGGCATCCCCAGCGACCTCTCCCGCCTAGGCCCCACAACTCGCGCCTGGGTTTTTTTCTCACTGCCCCCGCGTGCGCCTGTCGCCATCGGAACAAATGGCCACTGCCGCCCCCGCCTACGCGTTGTGTCGCGGCTGTCTGTCCCTCCCTTACTCGTTGCCCTCGGAGCCCCCAGCGTTCGCGTCTCGCTACCAGCACTGGCGCCGCTGACATCCGGGCGCGCGCCGGCGCCGCTTGTCAGGCAAGCGCTGTCATCCGCCCACGCACACGAGGGCCAAGTTGCCAAGTCTCGGCGCTTACTGGCGGCCGCTCACGTCTTTCTCACGCGGCGTGCTGTCCCTCACGGTCGTCCTGCAAGCCACCTCCACCCAATCCCCACTCTTGGCGTAGGACTTTCCCTCGCGCCGATCCTCGCGACATGCCCGGAGTTCGAATAGCCGAAACTTGACCTGCGTAGAAGTCACGGTTACGCAGGCGGCGGGGTTAACGTCAGTGACAACTCTGGCGCTGATTCACGCCCGCCGCTGTCCTTGCACCATTGGACCCTGCATTGCTCAATTCCCCCATGTTGTGCAGACGTGACGCCGACGTCCTCGATTTCTTAGTTTTCGCCTTCGCCTCGGTTATCCGGCTCGTCTTCCCCCGAGGTGATTTGCCAGGTCTCCAACTCGACCCGCAACTACGTCATAAGTCGGCTGACCCGTGAATTCGGGTCCATCATGTATTAGCATATGATATCCACTGATTGACTGCATTTTGTGTTCCTGAGCCTCGTGGTTATGGTGTGGCCCACCTCTCCTCTCCCTCCTCTTTCATGAACAAGAAAAGAAAACGGACCGGCGTATCGACGGGCTATAGCGTGTCGTATGGAGTCGGCAGCAGAACCAAAATCTCTGCGAACAAAATGCTGACACAGCGCGAGTCCGATCGGCGCCGACAAGCCCAGCTTCTCTCGAGTATGAGTCCCGGCTCGGGATGGACGAACTCACTGACTCTTCCCAGGCTTGAGCTATACACAGCGGCAGGAACTTATTGGCGCCGGTAACTACGACATTGAAATGGGTGAAGCGCCTGATTACTATGACGCTGCCGACGAGCAACCTCAGTCTTGGCAACCCCTCAATGAGCAAGAAGTTGAAGCCCTAAGGCATCTCCCCCCTGGTGAAGAAGGCTATTTCAATAGCAACGAAGGCAAGGAAGCGGCGTTTCATGAAATACTGGCCAAGTGCCAGCCTAAGTGTGTATGATTTAGCCTCATGTAATCACGCTTAACGCTTCCAGACGCGCTGACCTTCGGACCCGGAATATGCGGGTCCAGGAAATGATCAATGCTTGGCAACAATCTATGGAGTCGTTGACAGATGCGTATCTGGATTTCAAACTCCACGGGCCGCCCGACACTGATCCTCAGGTGGCTTCATGGTCTGTTGAGATCATTGGCTTTGACGGTCTGTGTTTTGTTTTGCTTTGGGGTATATCTTCTGATGATTTGGAAGAGTTCGGACCGCACCAATTCTCTCATATTGAAGGTGCACGCTATGTCAATCAATCTCTTCTACGACATGGTTATATCGGCGCCGCTCCGATCCGCGTGACCCGCGCATTCCCCATCCGCACATTGGAGATATACCGTCAAATTCACCGGGTTTGCCCCAGGTACACAATAGATACTTGGTCCAAAACCTTGACCAACCTGCATGAGGTAGGTTATCCTGGTTATTGATGGTGTGATTGATTTTACGCCTTCAAAGAAAGCTCGCATCAGCAACCTGACCGAACAGCTCAGCACGGCTTACGACGCCTACTTAGAGCTGTTACGACATGTCGATGCACGTGTCAATGCAGCATTGGGTCGAGATCAAGGTCGAGATACTGAATGGCAGCGGCAGGCTGTTTGCCCTCTTGAAACTCGTGGACCCTAGTTATCGACCCGGTAATGTCCGCGCCGATGATCGGACATCCAACTCATTCCGGCATCTGTCAAGTGAGGAGGTGGACGTCTTCAAAGATGAAGTGGTCAATTCAAAGGTTTGCGACCGATTTCTTACATTATACATGTTCTAAAAACGATGCAGAAAGCAAAACCGGCTTCAGTAGACCCCGCCTCAACAATGGAATCGCCCCCAATGCCTGGATCTTCATCTCAGGCACCAGAGGTACCGGTGACACCGGGTAAGGTCGTTTCCGTCATCCACCTGATCTGAATATCTGTCAGATCCAGCTCTACCCGTTGATGATGCCGATACGGTGTGGCTCGATGAATTAGAGCTCACCCCAGAAGAGCTCGATGATGTCGGGAAATCGGTGAATGTCTGTGTAGAGCGTTGGAAGGCGGCAGGTCCAGAAGCGCGCAAGAGAATGTTTGCGCTTTTTGCGATTTCTGGTATCTTTCTCACCGTCTGTCGACACGGCCATGTGATTGTGCAATGTGACATGGTCCGCAGTGGGGAATTGTACGTTTTCTCATCCTTGCGTTCTCGAGTAACTAAATGGATATTCCCAGAATGAAATACCCACTGGCTATGGTCAAGGCGTTGCTCGATTGGTATGGCGAGGACCTGTGTCTAGGGTATGACATCATGTGTGCCTTTTTCAAGACTCTGCGACGTAGCTCTCTTGGCGCCAAAGTCGTTGCCATGCGGCTGAAGGGTGTTGTCCCGGCATTCCACGGCTATGCTCATAACCGCCCATGCCAACTAGATTGGCATCCGTTGCATGTTGAGGGCGTTGGACTTGAGGACTTTGAGGAGTGTGAACGCACTTTCTCAAAATCAAACCACCTTGCATCGTGCACGCGCTTTGCGACTGCCTTTCACCGTCAACAGCAAATCGACGAGCATTTCAAGTTTCATGATCTTGACAAGCATGCTGCGTCAGGTACCTGTTGTCAAACAATGTCGTGAGCATCACTGATTTGCTGATAGGGAAATTTATCTTCGATAACTATCGACAAGCGGTCGAGAAGCTCGCCTTCGACCGTGGCCAGCTTGAATTGATCGAACAGGAACTCGGCACCACACCGGCCGACTATGAGCAAGACCATCAAAACGAACGACAGTACTTTGCGGGTTTGCGATCTGAGCCTGCTGATATCAAAGAGAAGGCCGACTACATTGAGCTGCTACTGAAATTGAATCTCACAAAGTAAGTGTTCGATACTTGTGGAATGTCAATAACTTAGTGTCCATGATTTGCCAGACAAGATTCCGATGACGCGGCTATAAAGCATCGGAAACTTGACCGTGTACTAGATGACGACGACTACGACGAGAAAGCTATCAAGCGCATCAAAACTAGGTATCGAACAACTTGGACCCGCTATCAGAACGCACAGGAGGCGACATTGCGATTCGAAGAAGAACATGACATTTCGACACGCTGGACTGTCAACTCGCCGGAATACCAAAGTGCTGCACTGATAATGACTGAGCGCGAATATCATACTGCACTATCCGAGCTGGAAAGGCTGACAGTAGCGCGTCTTTTGGAGCTTACCAAACTCGACATGAGCGGTCTTGGTGCGTGGTCGAACAGATCAGACATTCTTCTCTGATCAGCGATAGCCTACAAACTGCGCGACAAGCTCAACAGCTCCCTTCGAACCCGGTCAGATGCTGTTCGCCGAGCTCTGGTACGCTATAATGCTGCTGCTGCTCGTCTAAATCCACCACGTCCACAAATCGGGTGGAAGGAAGTCAACGACCTGGCAACTTTGGCTGAATTTGACCTTCTTCGAGAAACGCGGAGCGATGTTCGGCTCCAACCCTGGACTCAGCCTTCACGCCGTCAAGCGCGAACACTGTACTTCGGAATCAAGAGAGCCAGAGAGGAAATCCGCCGCTTGAATGTGGAGATACGACGTTTGATCACATATCTACTCGATGAGCATTTTGACTTCTATCGTGCCATCGCGCAGCACCTGATCACCAATCCAGCCCTCGCTGGAGAGCTTTCTCGGCGCTGGGAGCATGCAACACAGCTGAGCGCATCCATATGTTGGCAGATACGCAAGTGTTCTCGTCTCATTGGATTCTCGGGCAGCCTGTTTCCTGGAACCCGAGTGGGGCGTCAACAAGCAAAGAATGATGGCCTTCCGTTGCCTTCGTGGCTCGGGCAAGAGCTGGGAATTATCCAAACCGAAGTCTCATACGAGGAAGTGTCCGACGACATTCCGGTTGGAACCGACGATGAAGAGATGCGAGCGACTGACGGACTCGAAGTGGTTAATGAGATAGACTTGGATGAGGATGACTTGGGACGTCTTATGAACCACCTAAGCACTTACGACGATGTATAACACAGGATGTTTGAGCATAGCAAAGAAAATCAATAAGTTTATGATATCCATAATCATCAGTGACCACTCGTACCAGACGCCGATTGCCATAATGCATGCATTTTACTATTTGAACTCCAGTCAGCATTGAGCTTGGATGTTATCTAGTGCTTTCTGAACTGCATAATGAGCTTGATTGTCCACGGCTTGTCGTCTACTGTATTGCTGATTTCGTGCGTTTCGTGCGACGGATTATCAATCGTCAATCAGTGGCGATGACATGCCAATTTTCTCTTCTTCGACCGTCATGGTCAACAAGCCTGTCGTCCTTGACCCTCTGGGTAATGCCCTCCTCGCTGCAGGGCTACGGCCACCATCTGGGCCTGCCATTGCGCCTGTCCCAAAGCCTCTGAGCGGCCTTGGCTTCCACCCTCTCGCTCTCTGGGATTTGCGTCGCCAAATCGGCCCCCATCCCGACATTATGAAGTTCTACACCCACTTCTACCACTCAGACATTGCGTGGCTTGCAACTGGTGCCAGCAATGACGACGATCATCTATTCCCATCCAAGCATGGTTTCCGTCCCGAGCTCCGCGCACTCTTCGAAGCAACCGGGCGGGAGGAAGGAGGTCAAGCGCGACGAGAGCTACGAGATGCAGTAAAGGAACTTATCTGGGACTTGGTGCGTTGTCTCTATGAGAGCTTCGTCTTGATATTAAGGTTTCTAGGCTACCATGCTCGACCGCTCGATGGGGGGGACAACCTTTGTCCTTCACATTGACGGTGCGACACAGCCCAACACGCCTGCCCGGCCTGAATACCTCACCATTGACACACACATTCCACCGGGCTTTCTCGCCGACAACCCAGATGCACATGTCCCTATCGCACGAATGGTCCAGCTATTTGCGGAAGCTGTTGGTGTGCCGACAGTGAAGGCTTATACTCAGAACTATCGCAAGGCATGGCCACGCTCCAAATCCACCTCTCAGGGCCGATCTGCCAATCCAGTCTCCACGCGGCTCATTCCGGCTCCCTACCCATTGTCGTCGACCTCGTATACCTTTCTTGGACAGAAATCTGGGTCATTGGGCCTCGCACCAGAGCCCATCGAGATTCCGGACGACAGTCAAGAGGTTCTTGAGCTGCGGGCGAAGCTTCGTCAAGCGGAGGAGACAATCCGCAGCCTTACCCGCCAGCTCTGTGTCTTTAGGAACGATGCCGGTAAGGCCATGTTTTGTTTGGAGCTGCTACTCATTTTTCTATAGCTGACGCTGCTATGGCTGCTCTCCCAATGCCCAACCACTCGCGCACACACCATGCCCAGTCTACTGCGACAACGACGACAACAGCCAACAATCCCCTTGCTGCGAAATCTCCCTCTCGCTCTCGTACGCAACAGCCACCGATCAGAGCCTCGCCTCCACCCTACATGCCTGGGAACACGCAACAAACGGATCTGGAAAGTCTCATCGGTTTGCTTGGCCTCTCACAACATGCGGCTGTGATACGGGTGATTGTCAACGAGCCGACGTTCCATCCAGCCAGCTGGCATCAACGGCTGGTGGCAGCCAATGTGCCTGTGGATTCGGTTAACACACTCCTTAGTCTGTTTGTTTAGTTACACGCAAGCGATGTCATGGAAAATATCGAGGGAATCGGAGAACAAGCCAGCAATTGACATCAGTATGAAGTGTGGGCTTGACCGGCGACGGACAAATAAATTCATTGGGTTATAGTAAGTCGCCGCACATTCTTCATTTGCACCACTATGCCTGCGGTATTTTCGACACTTGCAGGCGCTGACCACCCACGACTACGCAAGAATGCGGCGCCACGACAGAAACCAGCACCACGACCAGCTGCTGCTCAACGGGAACAACGTGCGACCCACGCCGCGCGACAGAAGGAGATGGATGATGATGTTGCTAAGTGGTGGGCAGACACACAGTCAACCGCCAAGCACCTCGCCGAAAAGTATCAGAAGAAGGAACGATACTTCTACGACCTATTCTTTCAAGGCGGGGCTCACATGGTCCACTCCCGAGAAGCTGTCAACCCATACAATGCATTCAAGCACGAGAAGGCCATCGAGAACCAAAAAAGTGCGTGTTGTATTGCAGTCTAATGATACATTTATATTGACTTTCTGAACAGACGGCGTGAAAGAGAATGTCGAAGCACTGCATGAAGCCCATCATGCTGAATATCAACAGCTATCCGAGGAGGAGAAGAATGAGCTGGTAGAGCGTCTGCGGAAAGAACGCGAGGAGAATGTCGTTTTGCGTCGAGACACGCCGAAGGCCCGTGCCCAAGACGTTGCAAATACCGCACGAAACATCACACAGCTGGTAAGTATGTCTGATGTCGGGCTCGGACGTCCGCTTACACACTCCAGATCACCGCGCTGGCACGTCGCGTTGGCCTTGACGCATTTTTCTGCCTGTTCCGTAACAACCCGGACTTCGCAATGGAGCCATACTGGTGGTTCAGCAACAAGGCTGTGGAAGAGTACATGCCGATTGCGACTCGAAAGACATGGAATACCGGTGAGGTGGGATTCAAACTGGAGGCTTTCGCGATTGCCGGTTGCGATGCATTAAGTAATGCAAATCTTCCGAGTCACTTCACTTCTCACGCATGGCAGATTTGCTCCGGACATCGAAGCAAAAGTCTGACTGGCTGAAGGCGGAGATCCGAATTCTGATCAAGGAAAAGCTCGGTGGGCGTCGTCTTCCTCGCGAAATTGCTGCTTAATATCCCCCCAGTTGCTATTACAGGCAACCCAGACGCTGAGATTGCCTACCGGTGGTTTGAAGAAGATGTCGTCCAGAGATACGACATTGTCATTGATGGGTGGTGCGGCATCCCCTTTGACAATCCGAGCGCAGCCAGCACGTCGCTTGCAAAACTCCGCGAGACGGTTGATGGACTTCGGTCTGGAACCATTGTGTTCCGCAAGCTGACACTTGCCGAAGCCGCAGAACGTCGCAAAAAATGGGAAGCTGATGTGGCTGCGGGACTTGTTTCAGCGAAGAGTCAGAAGGAGCGAAGCGACAAAGGGGTCCCTCGAAAGCGGAAGCATGCGGAGATGGCAGAAGGAGAGGTCAACGGCAATGGCGAGGGTGACAGCGACGCAGATGATGACGGGGTGACAGAGCCTGCTTCACGACCGAAGCGCAAGCCACGTCGTCAGGCCACGGGGAAGGAGAACACAATGGGGGGGAAGGCTAACAAGGGGAAAGCAACTCAGCGCGACGATGCAGTGACACGCGCAGCTGTGGCAAAGCTGAAAGCCAAGAAAGTTCTTAGTCCCGCGACCATAGAGGATAGCGGGGATGATGAAGTGTGATATATTATTCGTTGACATTATACATTTAATACACAGCTGATAGACTTGTGTCGCATGTTGCGGCAACAGCATGTTCTTGGCAAAAACAAGTGGTGATGTCCGCCACACCGGTTTGACAAGAGTTGGCACCTGAGAGCGGGACTGGCAGCGATGGCGCGCGCGCCTGCCCTGCCCTAATATAGCAAGAGAATAGATGTGTTGATCGGACCGTGGCAAGGTGCCTGCCTAGTTGCCAAGTGATAACGAGAAGCGGACTGCCAAAATGGTTCGTTGAGGCTTGATGAGGGGGGCAGGCGGCCCAGCAGGACGCGAACGCGGGCCGCTCTCCGATTCGCAATGGCGGCAGGTGTGCAGGTGTGCAGTGAGTGACGGGCGCGGCACAACAACAGCCAGCGCAGTAGTGGGCAGTACGCGGTGATCGGACAGTGATGTGCGATGACAAGCGGACTGTCAAAACGGTGAGCTGAGGATTGATGGTGGGGTGACAACTCAGCAAGACAATGACGGCAGGCGCGCGTTGGGCGCGTGGGCGGGCAGTGAGTGACAGCCACAGCAACAGCCAGCAGCGCGGGTTGCGGGCGTGGGCGCTAGGCGCGGAGTGGAAGTGATGTGGCGGTGGGAGGTCATGAACGCACTGGGACCCCCCGACAGACAGGGACCCCCCGACAGACAGGCGCGCCCGGTGATGTGGGCGACGACGACGAGCACAGCGGAGTGGACGACATGGCAGGTGACAAGGAGGCGGGTCACTGTGTGATCGGGCTGTGACGGACGGTGACCGTTCCGACAGCCGCTGATGGCGAGCCGATGCCGCCGGAGGCCCTCGTTGGGGCAGGGAGAAGTCCACCGGGGTGAAATGTCGGGGGGGATTGTCGGAGGGTAAGAGGATTTGACGTTTTTGATACCGCGGAGATGTGCTGATGTGGTCCGATCAACACATCTATTCTCTTGCTATATTAGGGCAGGGCAGGTGCTTCGCTTGTGTCATACAAGAGATTGTATTGCTCGTTCGGAGTATACTCGTTGAAGAACGACGATTGATAGTTCACTTGCGCGTTCCCAGTCGTTCCAGCTCCTCCTCCCTTGCTATACCAATCCAACACTCGTTGATAACGTGACACGTTCTCAGGATACTTGGGGATATAATATCCACCAGGTAATCGCAAACCCCCATTCTCCATAACGATCTTTCCTTGGTCCAATAACGCCCTCTTTTTCGGACAATCCCGCACCATATGCCCAGTCTCTTCGCAGAAATGACACTGTTCATTTCCTTGCATTCCACCATAGTTTCGCTCTCCACCCTGGCGATATTCTCGTTGAGGCTGCCCTTGGTGCTGGTGAGTCGCTGTTTCCTTCGATCTAGATTCAGTTGCTACATGCATCTGCTTCATAGTCTCAATCAACTGCTTATCCCGCACGGCCATGACGTCCTTTAACGCATTTATTTCCAGCGCAAAACTCTCCATTTGGTCTCTAAACTCCGACTTGACCCTCGTATCCGAGGTTAACGGTCCTCCACTGAGATTCGACATCGAGATCGATGGTTTAGCATCATCCCTCGATACCGCATCCGCTTCTCTGCCTGACCAGTTGTTCGCAAGCCATGCCACCACCTTGAGAACCTCCTTGTAGCTCCAACGATCCCCTCTACGAGTGTTTGCTGCGTTCTGATTTGCATTTGCGTTTGGCCCTAGAATATTCGCGATATTTGGCTGGTTCAGCGCCGCTTCGACTGCTGACGCGAAATCGCTACGCAACGTATTCAAGATCAAGGACACCAACTCTTTGTTCGTGACCAACGAGGGAGGCAGGAGTAGTTTCTCTGCTTCTGGTACGAAGAACGCACAAAAACGAGTAACCAACCCCAAATCCTCTCGACTCGCCCCCTTGGCTTCCGCGCAAATCTCTCTCAAACGCCTCCTCGACCCTTCGTTCACCTCATCCAACTCTGGATACATCGACTTTATCGCCGTTTTCCATTCTTCGAACGTTCCTCCTCCATATGGCGTCAAGTTCTTCCACGCTTCCTTCACATATCGAGTATCCAAATACCGCAACACCGTCTCCTTCTTTTCCGCCGCTTCAGTAATACTTGCCTGGTCGATAATGCGATCGCATTCGTCTAGGAATTTCTCCAACTTGCCAGGAGTCTTCCCATCGAAACTCGGACGACCCGAATCCCAGGTTTCCGGTACTTTAAAACGCGCAGCCGCTCCTCCAAGACCTCCATTATTTACGTTTCCGTTATCCCCCATGTTGTTGTTTTGTTCAATCGGTTGTTCGTTAATCCGATTTGTGTTGTGTTCACCTTCAGATAGGTCCGTTAAAGGCGAAGATGGTGTCGACGATTGCTGTTCTTCTTCGACTGTAGTGTTCCTTTCGGTTGTTTTGCGCTTTGTAGCTGGTTTTGTTGGTAAGCGCTTTTTGCTCGATGCTTGAATCGGTTTCCGCGACGAAGATGCTTGAGGTTTCGTCGATTTTTGTGGTGCTTCTCTGTTCCGAGCTCCTTGTGAGTTGAGCGTGGTTCTCGGTGTTGGTTTCTTCGTTAATTTGGGAACGAAAAGTGGTGTTGGTCGCAGTTCTCCAACGCCTCTTAACAATCCAGGGAAGTCGTTTGGTTGGGAATCAGTGAGATCTTTCTGTTTCCCTTTTGGTGGAATTTTGTACTTTGATCCAAGCGTGTGGGCGCTTGCTTGTCTTCTTTCTTGTCACAGCTGTTTTTGCACTAAACAGAGTTCTTTGCAATATAACACTCGATCACCCCTCGCGGTGGGCTCCAGATGATGAGGGTGGATGACGGGTGGGGAGACCGGAGATGAGACCGACACTACACAACTAAAACTCAACAACAAAACAACAAATAGTCGTTCTGTCTGAGCGATAACCGTATAACACCGTTCCAAACGTCCAACAACCACCAATAACCGTCTCCTAATACGAGTGCAGAACCCTGGGAACAGAGCCTGTACACGGGTGTGCAAGGTTGTAGGGTAGATCGAATGAAATCTTGTTAAAGATTTGTTTTGTGGTTGTCCTTAAGCGTACTATCGACGAAATCCAGCAATAGGAAAGCGCCAATACGATGCCCAGAACCGTTTATACTCGTTTGGATCAGGAACTAACTGCCTTAAACCCAAGGAGTCGTCTCAAGTCAGGAACTAACTGCCTTAAACTCTCGACCGCCAACCGAAACCAAGTGTACGCCAACCGAAACTCTCTTATACGGCAACCGGAACCCTCAACTCTTTGATCACAACGCCTTTTTACTTGAATGAAAGAGCTAGCAGGATGATATTGACAAGCTAGATCCCCAGATGCACCTAGTAACGGGGCAATCCGTGAATCGCTCAAATACAGGACAGAGATATAAATACTAAAACAGAAAATGATAAGATCAGGTAAATCGCCACAACAGAATGATGGTCCATGTGCATAATTTGTAAGGTATCGTTTCGCCATAAGGCCCAGAGTCGAAAATCCAGGTCTAGATGACCGGTAGCGTGTTTTGGTGTCAATGACCTTTGTAAATCCTCCTTTATTGCGACCGTCTATGCGTTTTTGTGAACGGTCCGCTAACCGTTGTTGTTATCGTCGTGTTGCTCCACTTCCTAGCTTTCCATCGATATCCATGACTTGAGGTTAACCGCCAGACACCGTTAGGCAAATCTCTTAACGAGATAATCGCAATCTGTTGTCGAGTTGTTCGGTTGGACGGTTGCGGGTTAAGGTCGCCGCGATCTGCAGCCAAGCCCTCGTTTCCACTGAGTCATGCCTCCCGTTTAACCGCACCTCCACATGTCCTTATCCTTGCGTAAGTTCCGAAACCGCGTTCCAATGCTGTCAGGGACTGATCCGTTCGAAGCCTGGTTGAACCTTCGTCGGAGCGTTCTGAGTTCGAGTCCCAGCGCGTGCCAGACCGAATATGCCTTTTGGTTTACACTCCCCTTTTGGTATATATAAAGGATTGGATGGATCCTCTATGTTGGTTGGGCTCTGCTGTTGTTTTTGGTTGTTGTAAGAGTCGTTCTGAACGGCCAGTTGCTATCAACAACGGTCGAATCGAAACACCTCTTCGCAGATATCTCCCTAACTGGCCATTCGGGACTCATGCCAGTTCCTAGACGTGCGCTGTAACCATGAAACGAACAAAAATAGTGGTTTCCTATGTGTGTTCCAGAATGCGGCTTATCAGCGGGCGCGGGCGCGACGGTAGCGGCGTTGGGAGCTTTCGGAGAGGACATGATGGTAAAAGCCTGAGGGGTAGGCGGTAGAATGGCGTTGACTAATAGAAAGCGAGAGTCGTGCGATTGAAGCGAAATAAGAAGACAGCGGAAGCGTGTTGACGCATCTTATTACGGTGGGTCGAATTTAGTGCGGTGGGCAGGGCTTCAGTGCGGCAAACGCTTGTTGGCGCCTTCTTCCATGGGCTCCTCCCAATTGCCCCACGCGCGTCAAAAAGCTGGCACCCACAAGGCGCGATCCGACACCGAGGATGCAACAGATAACGATGCGCCTCGTCCGTCTAAGAAACGAGGAAATAGGGGCAATTTCCACGGCCAACGATTAGAGTTTTTGGAGGGCTGGGTGAAGGAGTACGCGAAAATCACGCAGACGAGGAAAAGGCCGCAGCGGGGCTCAGGAAAGAGCATCTGGGATCGTCTTTTCCCCAGAATGGTGGAGGGCTTTTCCGTGGCGTTTGGAGGCCACAGCAGACCCGCCTGAAGACGAGGAGGAGCTGGAGCAACTTGCACTTCCGGCGCAGAACGACGAAGAAAGGGAACGGCGGCTGAAAATCATGAACCAGACGGAGGGGGTGGGTTCCTGCTTCACGTGTAATATCTCTGCTGAATCATCTCTAGAGGATTAAGTCGTGGTTTAGTCGCCAAAAAAACACCCACGATAGGCCGAACCCTTTCCAGCCCTTGCTCAAGCTCTTGCGACAACCGGAAGGTTGCGCTCCTCGTCGCATTCCAGACTACAAGTTTTACATGCGCCAC